TGCACTTCATTTTCTCATTTAATTTAAATGTATTCCAAAGCTCTTTATTTGAACTGTAAGTTAAATAGCCTTCACATACAAAGCGCAGATTGCTATGGCAACTCCTTCAATGTTTTGAAAAACTTGAACAAATCAAGTGCAAAGCCATTATCAACTACTACTTGAGTTCAAAAGTAATGAGAGCATTTCAAAGAGTGCAATGGCAAATCGACAACTCCTTCATAAGGTTTTCAAAGTGAATATTTGAAATAAAGGTGCGAGAACTGTGTGGAGAAATAAATATCCACACTATCATAAAACCCTATCAAATGAGTTAAAACCGCAGTGTGCAGGCCTGCTTTTTAAGTCTGCCTTGTTACAAAATGGTGTGTGGGGAGGGCACCGCAAGTGACTCTCACCATTTGTTTAATGAGCTGCAAGACTATCACTGTAAGTAAAGTAGTAATGTGTTGTTTTTAGGTCCTAGCGTCGGACTCTCCTCAACCAAATATGTTCTGAACTTGGAGCAGGCACTCGACCTAACTAACTAGTTTCCTTGCAGCCATCCCAACACAGCCCGAAGGATGTTCTCCATGCAGGTTTATACAACGATTGTAAAGGAATAGGCCAGCCATTGTTCGTTTAAGTTGGGCGTGGTGTTGTAAAAGTATTTTCAGATGGTAAGCGACACTTTGATGTGTTGGGACTCACTGTGCTCCTCACATGAATAGACAGGCAGACGAGCACTCCACAAGTAAATGCCAAATGCTCTGTAAAACAAACATTCCCATTCAAATCAACATGGCAGGATGGTCAGAGCGGCAGCCATTTTTATTTGTACTGTTGCCATTGCAGCTGTTGCTAACTTCCGTGTAAACTTCCGCATAAACAAGCCAACTTGTGGCAAGTCGCTCTCTCACTGAGGGGAAGTTTTCAACAACAACCAAACAAGCAGTGGAGTAGTAAGCTTTCAAATAAGTACTCCGTTACTTTTAAAAAATATTACAGTAACTGTTATTTCTCTTTTGATTTTTTGCCATTATTGCATGTTCGTTGAAAGATTACATACTGTAGCTGCCTCCGAAGAACAAGAGAAGCAGGATTTATACTTGTGCATCAGAGTCTAAGCTGCAGCCTACACACACACAGTTGTGAGCATCTATACTTGTGCAGTGGTGTCTGTGTCCCTCTGCAGTTACACCTCCAAACCACTAGTTGGTGGGGGAGCTTCCGTGAAGTGCTGTAAAGTTTAGTTGATTCAAAACATATCCAAAACATACATTAAACATGGCTTAATAGAGACAATTTCAAACACAAGTACACAAATCAGCTTCACTATAACTCACAGACAAAACATTTGTCTTTATCTGGACACATTTTCCCCACAAATACAACATGCTAATGTTATTAGCACAAGCCTATGGCATTTTACATTGTATAAATTAGCCTAGCAGCTAGCAGACTTTTCCTCTACTCATATTAAGCCAGGGACAACAGCAACATTTAACAAAGGTAACATTACAAAATTCAGCTCCATTACAACTCACAAGTTTCACTGACAAAACAACTGTCTTATACTAAACAGACAAGCAATGAGCGGAGATTTCCTCTGCTAATATGAAGCCAGGATAAATCACACACAAGACTTAAAATGCTATTTTAGTGGAGGCTTTATTGTCTTCACAATTTATTGTTTCTTATTTGTGAAATTAAAGTAAATAAAAGCTTTGTTTCCACTGAGGGAAAGGGTTTCAGCTTACAAAAATAGACAGGAGGTCTGTATCGCCATGACATGTAGTTACATTTCTGGGAAGGTGCGCGTCAGGCTACGGCGTAGGGTACGGTTCTGCATGGACGCAGAGCCTACACTGTAGGTGCGGCGTGGATTTGACGCAGAAGTATAAATCCCGCATGAGAGCGGCTGCTCAGCAGACAGCTGGGAGGCAGAAAAAAACAGCGAGGATAAACAGCGGGTAGATTAAGATCTAACTCTGTGAACTGAGGATTTATTTTGGCCAAACCAGAGTTGGTGATAGTTTGAACAGTGGACTAACCAACTAGATAACTAACAAGACTAACCAAGACGGTTTTAATGAGTTTTATTTAATTCTGTAGAGTTTGAATGAAGTGCGTATTACGATATGTTAACAAGACAATTAAGCTGACATTAGGTCAGTAAAAGAGAGAAACTTGGATTGGTGTATGGTATTAATTTTCTGTTTAGTAAGGAAAATAGGTGTAAAAATAGGCCAGAGGGAATTCTCAGACTAGTGACGTGTGTTGTCACCATAACAACTAACAGCACCATGTTAATTTGTACTACTCAAATGACCATGGCAAACATTTTCACATCCTTTCTTTTCATTGTATTTCTGGATCAGTGATGTCCAATATCCGATGAGTGAATAACGTTATTATTAGAACCCACTAATACTAATTTTGGATCAGATCAGTCTCATCTCTACTTGTAACACTCAAAGTCCCCCAAAACTGTACTTGAGTACAGTACTTAAGTAAATGTACTTAGTTACTTTCTACCACTGGTTTATGGAATGATCAAATAATGTGTGGGTATCAAGCAGTGGACACTTCTCAACAACCTGGTAGGATCAGATACGGTCAAGAGAGCATTAGTGCTAAATTCCTAACTGACAGTAACAGTGGTGTGAGATGACCATTATGTTTCATTATGAATCATCATCATGACTCATGAGTATTTGTAATGATAAGCACTGACCTTCACCTCCACGAGTGCATCAAAACTAAGCTAGAAAACACACTCGCTGTTAA